ACCATTTGTATGGAATGGTATAGGGTCCCTTCCAACTCTGTTATTTTATTAACATGATGACTGAAGCTACGTACATAAATTGAAAGAAAGTTCCTTTACCCCACTCTTCTTCCCAAAATGTATGCAACATTTTCTAAGGTTAGCGGTTAAAGACACCAAGCTTGTCAGTTGGAAAGCTGACAGCCTGTGGTTCAAGACCAACCACTGTGTGACAGGGTGAGCTCCTGTTACTTGCCCAGTTTTTGCCCACCTAGCAGGTCAAAAGCTGTTGTGGTTAGCCAGCAGCAGGTGAGGATGGCTGAAGAGAGCTAGGGCTCAGATAAGGGGGCAGGACCATTAGGGAGTAGACTGCTGCCTTGAGAGATTGTGGGGGCTTGCAGCAGTGATGAGGAGGTTCCCGAGGAGCCTGTGCCAAGTGCGTGTGCGTGCAGGATTGCTCATAGGAAAGAGCAGCTACAACATCACGGGTGACTCAGGAGTAAGACTGAAAGGTAATGGCTCCTCCTTCAAGAAGATAAAAGCCAGCTGTGAAACTAACTTTCTTTGCAGAAGGCAAAGACATTTTGAAACTCCAGCCTCGTGGACATTCCAGTATCCTGAGTTTGTATTTGAAGATTCTTATTTTGCAAATTATTACTCGTCTGTTAACTTTTGGCAAGTCTCGCACAGTTTGGCAAGGCTTGTGCTTATCACAGCTAATTGTTTTGTAAAAGCATTACAAGGTTTCTGTTCTTTTTGAATTGTGTTTGATTTGTCGGAAAAGGGCATGGGTCAGAACCAAAGCATGGAAATACAAGTAGATAAATAGGTACCACTTCATTGAGAAGATAACTGTTCTGTGTGTCTCTGCATACAGTCATGCTGGCTGACCATGAAATGTGTTTGGACAACGCTGGTTCCCTCATCTAAGAAATTGAGCTGGACACAGTCCCCTAGAGTCAGACATGATTGGAAAGGAGAAAACGTTTCCTATTTGTAGGACTCACAAATTCACAATATCGGGATATATTTTTTGTACTTGAACAAAGAGTGTTGGATGCAGATATTTAGAATTCTTTTATTCTAAAAATAGTCAGTTTAGAATATAATGATGTGCTACCCCATTTCTCCCATCAAGTGTTCTTTATTCCTATTATATTAATTTTCTCCTGTGAACATATGGAGGAAGATAGAATCAAAACATGAAAGGTATCAGCAAACAGGAAAAATAATCAGCAGAATAATAATGAGTCAAAACTATAGGCAGATGATAATGAGTCATAAAACAATGAAAACATGAGGTTAAATATATCTCATACAGAAAATGGTTAAAACATAATAAATAAACCAGTTGCAATGTAAACATGAAATAAACTGCGTCAGTTATGTTTAAAAATAAAAGCATATTAAACAGGGGTCGGATCCTACCGGTTCAATCCAGTTCTATAGAACCGGGAGCTCCAAAGAGCAGCTGACACTGAACCGGTTCACTGGGATGAGTTTTTGGTCTGCTATTTCGCCCTCCTGTCTGCCCGAGTTCTAGGCTGTCCTTTAGTGACCGCTTTTTCCTCCTCAGCCGCTTTGTGCCACACAGCTGAGTGCTGCTCGTCAGCTGGAGAAAGTAAATGGTTGCCGGAGCAGGTAGCAGGCACGCGCATGCAGAGCATATTTGACACGCATGCACGCGCTCCCCGAACCATTGTTATGCCAGTCGGATCCCACCCCTGACAATTCAATGGCAAATAAGAATCGAAACTCTGTCTAGTTCCATCTCTATCATTATTTTAATCATCCTAAATATTCTAAGAAAAATCAATATTTGCTACTCAAATTGAAAGTTGAAGATTCTTAGATGATTCTCAAGTTAAATATAATGTTCACAAAATATCTAAACAATTCTTGTAGTAAAAATTTGACCGAGAATTGCCTGTAAGAAAGTCAAAATAGGAAATAAAGTTAAAGGTTCCCGTAGCACATGTGTGCTAGTTGTTCCCAACTCTAGAGGACACTGCTCATCTCTGTTACAAAGCTGAAGAGCCAACAAGCCAGCACTGTCCGAAGACGTCTCCTTGGTCATGTGACCAGCATGACTAAACGCCAAAGGCGCACAGAACACTGTTACCTTCCCACCAAAGGGGTCCCTATTTTTCTACTTGCACTTTTACATGCTTTCGAACTGCTAGGTTGGCAGAAGCTGGGATAAGGAACGGGGGGTACTAGGGATTCGAACTGCTGAACTGCCAACCTTTCTGATTGACACGCTCAGCATCTTAGCCACTGAACCAGGCTAAAAAAGAAACTTAGTTCTGTTAAGGAGTATCATTGTATGTTCTTCTATCTCAGTAGAACACCCTAAACTCAAATGACATAAGAATATCACAGCAGGGTCCCCAGGCATTTTAATTTAACGCCTAATAATCATCTCCTTTCACTATGACTTGCATATGTATGACTGTATGTATATGGGGATGTACAGTATGCAAATAAACATCTTAAAACAGCAGTGTTTTAAGCAATGTATATGATTGGTTGCAGCTTAATTAGATAAATTATTTTTCTCTTGAATAAAAGTTATTTTACATGCTAATTACTCAAACCAAATCTTAATGCTTTGTTTTGATTTATAGTTCTCCAAAATTATTAATTTCAATGGGCTTAATGCAATTGAACTCTGCTGGATTTTGACTAACATAAAAAAATCACGCGTGCTAACATCATCTACTTATTTCTCTTCCTTTGTTCTGATTTATTTAAATCTTTTTCTGATTTTTGGAAATGGTACCCAAAAACATCAGACAAAAAAAAAAAAAACCTGATTGAAAATGCGTTATTTCTTCTGCAAAAAAAATATATGTTGCAATAACATATTCACTTCTCTTCCATCCATGCCACTGTTTCTTGGGAGATATCCAAACAAACTCATTAAGAAGGATTAAGTTTCATTCAATGTTTATTTTTCTATTGATTGCATCTATTCTGCATTAATATAAACCTGGGAACAATAAATACAATGTGTGCATCCACTAGTAATAATTAAAAAAACTGATTTGAGAGCTTTTTCTGGTTGCTAAATCAGAGGTGGTATTCAGCAGGTTCTGACCAGTTCTGGAGAGCCAGTAGCAGAAATTCTGAATAGTTCGGAGAACCAGCAAATCCCAATTTTACAGTATTCTTCCCCTGCCATGCCCACCAAGACACTCCCCCAGAACTGGTAGTAAAAGAAATTGAATCCCACCACTGTTGTTAATGGAAGAAGGAATCATTACGGGGGGGCGGGGGGGGGTCATTTTTTTCCCTGGAAAGAATAATATAAGTTCAAATGATCCCATAGATTTTATACTAATTTTCTATGGCAACTGTCCTGCTATGAGCTTTCATACTGATAAAATGGGATGGAGCTTTCTTTTGTCTTTAATGTCATAGTTTTAAAATGCAAGTGAAAGACGGAGTACCTTTCTCTGATTTAATTTTGCAAAGAAAAGAAAAATGGTCTCAAATGCCTTTTAATCTCATTTATCCAAGTAAGGTTTTCAGATATTTGTAAAAAAAAAAGATATTGTAACTTTAAATAGTTCCATGGAGTTCTAGAATATCTTGGAAGGTGGGCTGTTTTAGATGTAGTGTTATAAAATAATAGCGAGCTAAGGATATTATTCCGAAAGAAATATTATCACCTTTCAGTATGACCAGATTGATTTGTATATGACTTAAATTAAAACTTTTTACTTTAAATAAAAATTATGTCGCCAAAAGTTATACTTTTAAATGACATAACCCACACAATTTTATGGTCTTTAGAAGTTTTATCATAAGGCCAGGTGGGTGATCAACCATTTTCACAAAACAATATGAAAGTAAAAAATGTTCTTCCTTTCTTTTTTTTCTCTCCCTCATTTTAATCGCCTGTAGATAAATCTACTAAATATATTTTAATCCCAAGAATCTTCAGGTATCATTTATTAATATACAACATTTATTTTTTTTCTCTTTTAAAAGGTAAATAATACTGTCTTTTACAGAAGCATTCATGGTTGGTTGGTTTTTAATTGGATAACATAGTTCACGTTTACGGTACAAATGTCAGACAGCAGTTAAGCAGTGCCATCTTTTGCCAATAATAAGAGTATTATCTTACATACAATTTAAAAAAGATTAATTGAAATGACTACAGGCTTAGCGGGTGAGGGGTGGGCAAATATTCTTCCCCATAACCCTTCTAGACCTGCAATTAACACAGTCATGATTTCATCAATATTTACATGAAATTAATTAAATATAATAGATATTCCTTTCATATCAATTGTTTCCCATAGTGGGACATAATGTTTCCTTAAGGAACAACTACATTTTAAGTTCATCCTTCTCGTTAAAAAATCTATTTTGATATTTAGTTGGATGCTAAGTCTTCTAGAAGATTTAGGGATGAAAACCAGGCATTGTCTTATTTGAAAAAATAAAGAAATGTGGCTAACATTAAGAAAGATTGACTTCAAGCTGACACCCTTAAGGTTAGGCTTATTCAATCAGGTATTCAGCCACAATCTTTATAATTCATTATTTTTTACTGTCATCTTTTCCCAAAGTAGCTTTCCCCAACAACATGATGTACCAATAGGGTATCTCCAATCACCATTATCTAGTGTAAAAACATCCTGTTTATGAAAGGAGAGAATCATAATCCGACTTATTTGTAAGGCATTCAAATTGTGAAACTTCCAAAACATTTTCATCCCCTCTAAAATAGAATACTTTATACTTTATAATGAACTACACTGCATTATAACTGAGATCTACCTGTATCAGAAATGCAAACATGCAGCAAATTTTAATCCTTTAAAGTCCTACGTAACTGAGACAAAAATTTTCATGGAATGGAATATATCGATCCTTTTTTTTTTTTTAACAACTGTATTTTTTCCCCTGCTTAACTGACTCAACCTGTTTGTCCAGGATGTAATATCCTCTTACAAAAAGTTAAGTAAACTGCTCTTCTCAACTTCATGTATACCAAGTAAGTGTTTGCATTTTGTTCAGGTGACAATACATGGAGCTGCCGTTCACAAAACTTGAAGTAGCTTTCATCTTGCTGGCTTTTGTGATTTTCACCTTGTTTATCCTGGCTTCTATTTACAACGAACCTGACACAAAGAATGCAGGTAAATAACGCAGATTCTTTTACATTTGGTGATATATAGTAGTACGCACTTTTCATTGCGTTGTCTGTACTACTGTGAATGTTGTTTTAGCCCTCTTATTGCTATTGGTGCAGCTTCATAGAATCTATAATATAAAAGTAGTTTTTAGCTTTTCACTAGACTGCAGTGAGTTGAATTTGTTGCTGAATACTGGTTTTTAGTTAAGCCCACAATACCAAAACGTTGCTTTAAAGGACGATACAGTGAAAGAGCATGATGTGAAAGAAAATCAAAAATATAGAAATTAGCTGTTTAAAACAATTTACTTGCCTGTGGTTCCTGTTTCTCTTGCAATGAATTAGCCTCAAACAATCCTTCACTATAATTCTTTATAATCATCCCACTATTACTGCTCTCAAATCTGTATATGGTCAATTCGGCAGGGCAGATCTTGCTCAGTCATTAAGGAGAACAACCCTTTCAGATAGCAGATATTGTAGGAGGCATAGTTAATAGTTAACTAAGTTAAACTATTCTGTGGTTTCAGGTACAGCGGTTGATACTGTTCTATTGATACTACTAAAACAACACTTCAGAGTTATTTCAGTAGCCCTGATTGTATGGGTACATGTCAGTGGTGGGATTCATTTTTTTTTTACTGCCAGTTCTGTGGGTGTGGCTTGGGGTGTGTGGCTGGGGAAGGATACTGTAAAATCTCCAGTCAGAGGTGGGATTTGCTGGTTCTCCGAACTATTCAAAATTTCCACTACTGGTTCTCCAGAACTGGTCAGAACCTGCTGAATACCACCTCTGGGAAGAGAGTGGCAGATATAAGATCTGATTTGCAATGGATCAATAAAGTTTTATATCTCCCAATAATTTAAAAAAACCTTTTTTTAAAAAAAATGCCAACTGTTAAGTTTTTTTTTCTCAAACTTGCTTGTTTAACCTTGATATTCCCTCCTTTTAATGTTTAGGGATTTAGATAGGTTGCTTTGTTCAAGATCCTTGCAGCTCTATATAATCACACTGAGAGTTCTGCAAATCTTCATGTTTACCTTTATTCAATTATGGGCTCGTCTGCCCACCTGGCTCTGCTTGTACATCCTAGAAACCCCAATTTGATAATATCTGCTAGGGATCCATATTAGTTTTTTAAAAAATTATAGGTCCACATGCCTGATATCAGTTAAGCCACCAGAAAAAAAGCTTTATAAATACTTAATTAAGAAAGAAAAGCAAGTTTCCGAATTGGGACATTTTATCCAGGTAGTAAAAAATTAGAATGCATTCCTACACTAGAAGCTAATTGTCAGCAGGGTGGCTGTCCACGCAACAGTCATGCCAGCAAGAAGCATTGGTGGTAGCGGGCTTGCTCTCATGGATGCAGCTTGCCTTCCGACCGCAACCCCTTTTAAAATAAAGCTGCTGAGGACCCCTGAGCCGACCACTTCCCCTTCTAGCCCTGTGCATTGGGCAAGGCCAGAGGCATGGGATGCATACCTGGATATCAGCAGGGTGGCAGGAAGGCAGAGATATAATAAGGGTGGGATTCAAATTTCTTGACAATCAGTTCTGTGGGGATGGCCTATTTTGTGGGTGTGGCTTGGTGGTCATGTGACTGGGTGGATGTAGCTTGTATGTAAATATTGTGAATATTTGTGTAAATATTTGTGAATTTTTTTATTTTAAAAAAGCAACTTTTACCCAAAACGAGGCAAAGCAGGCAGGCAGATTGAGCTGCTTGCAGAATCACAGATTCACTCAGAGATCTGCCTTTCTGCAATCTTCTGCCTGAGTCTGCGCTGAAAAATAGAAGCTTCAATCCTAAGGAAGGTTCAGCTCTGCTCTCAGGTCACTTCTCCCCCACCCCCAACCCCCTGAATACCAGCCCTGACTGGGGCTCCTGGGTGAAAGCAAAGCATTCCAACAGCAATTTAGATTAGCTAGAAAGCAAGAAATCTGACAGGAGGGAAGGGGGCATCTAGTGGTTTGATTTGCCGGTTCTCTGAACTGCACAGAATCATAATAGCTGGTTCTATAAACTGGTCCAAACTGGTAGAATCCCACCCCTGGATATAATCAGTGTATCATCTTACGATGTTTGATAGAAAAACACACACAGCAGTGATGGCTAACTTTTTCAGCACCGAGTGCCCAAAGCACATGTGCAAGTGCATCCCCAAAATGCAGTGTGTCCTGCACCCCATGCACGGCAGAGATCTGAAGACCAGCTAGCTGGTGGAAGGTTTGTGCGCATTGCACCCCATGCACGGCAGAGATCTGAAGACCAGCTAGCTGGTGGAAGGTTTGTGCGCATGCGCAGCAGAGCTGAGCTGGAGTGACGGCTCGTGTGCCCACAAAGAGGGTTCTGCGTGCCAGCTCTGGCCACGCATGCCATCGGTTCACCATCACGGACATACAGTATATGGACAATACCACCTTGAACATGTTGCCTTCATAGTCTTAAAAACCATCCTTTGAGTCTATTCCAAGGATAGACTTTGGTGGAAGCTGTCCCTTTAACACCTATTGATCAGAGGTTACGTTCTTAATTAAGATGCTGGGAGTAGTAATCTGGGATATAATTTGGGAGGTAGTAGTAATCTACTATCTCCCAAATTCAATGTAATAGAATTGGTCATCTTTATGGCTCACATTCTTATCTAAGTGTGAAACAGGGTTGTGATGTAGCTTTTGTGTGGTTTTCTATCTAGGCAAATTCAGCTAGTAGCTAATGTAACTAAAAAGAAAGAATAGAATAGAATAGAATAGAATAGAATAGAATAGAATAGAATAGAATAGAATAGAATAGAATACTTTATTGGGCAAGTGCGACAAGGAATTTGTCTTGGTGTAAATAACTCTCAGTATACATAAAGAAAAGATACATTCGTTAAGAATCAAGAATCATAACGTACAACACTTAATGATAGTCACAGGGTACAATCAACAATGAAATCATACTAGGAAACAGTCAATATAAATTGTAAGGATACAAGAGACAAAGTTACAGTCCTACAGTCACAAGTGGGAGGGGATGGGTGATAAGGAGTGATGAGAAGATTAACAGAAATAGTAGTGCAGACTTTGTAAATAGTTGAACAGTGTTGAGGGAATTATTTGTTTAGCAGAGTGATGGCTTTCAGGGGAAAACTGTCCTTGTGTCTAATTGTTCTGGTGTGCAGTACTCTATAGCATCGTTTTGGGGATAGGAGTTGAAACAGTTTATGTCCAGGATGTGAGGGGTCTGTAGATATTTTCACAGCCCTCTTTTTGACTCGTGCATTACACAGGTCCTCAATTGAAGGCAGGTGGGTAGTAATTGTTTTTTTCTGCAGTCCTAATTATCCTCTGAAGTCTGTGTCTGTCCTGTTGGGTTGCAGAACCAAACCAGACAGTTATAGACGTGCAGATAATAGACTCAATAATTCCTCTGTAGAACTGGATCAGCAGCTCCTTGGGCAGTTTGAGCTTTCTGAGTTGACGCAGAAAGAACATTCTTTGTTGTGCTTTTTTGATGATGTTTTTGATGTTAGATATCTATTTTAGATCATGTGATATAGTAGAACCTAGAAATTTGAAGGTCTGTACTGATGATACTGTGTTGTCTAGTATTGTAAGAGGTGGTAGTATCGGAGGTTTTCTTCTAAAGTCTACCACCATTTCTACAGTTTTAAGTGTGTTCAGTTCCAGATTGTTCCAGTTACACCACGAGACAAGTTGTATAACTCTTGTCTGTATGCAGAATTCCACTTTTTCAAACCCAGTGACAGGCATTTGGCAGGGCAGCTGTGTACTGGTGATAAAGCAATTCTTTCTCTCACACAGCTGGGCCTTAGGGGAAATCTCTGATCCTTAGCAGAATTCTATAAGAAGGAAAACACTTTCACTCAGTCTAAGACCAAAATTATGATTTTCTTGGGAAGACCAAGATCAAACACCCATGTCAAACTGGAAATAATAAAAGTGAAGGAGTTTTAAATAGCCTGTAATTTTTCAAGCCTCTCGAACTTGGCAGGAACACATTACAGTCACTTCTGCCAAAATCAACAAGAGTGCCAAGGCAATCTCATTCTAAAGAGTGCTACCTTTAAGGTTTTTAAAAATAAATAAATCAAATCCCAAATGGTGTGCACTACACAAGTATGCAATTACAATGATTTAAAACCTTGTTCAGTGTAGATTTCTGCAAGTACCTTTGCGTATCTCATGTTGTGTTTTCCAAAGCAGTAATCCACTTGGAAGCTGGTATGATCCCACCGGAGGCAAGAATTCACATTTTCTAACTCCCTTACTGACTTAAACTGTTTTATTGGTTTCACTAGATCTCTTCAATCACTTTGGATCAAGGTAGAAAGATAAAATCTCAGCTGACACATGTTAGCGTGGTCTTTCTACTTACTCTTTGTAGCCTCTAAGCTTAGGGCGAGCTAAAGCTGAAATGAACAGTTTGTGATTAAAACAAGGGTGGGTTGCTACTGGTTCTGCCTGGCTCTCTAGAACCGGTAGCTCTGAAGAGCAGCAGATACCGAACCGGTTCTGTGTTTGCGAATGTTTGGCCCACCCACCCGCCTGGGCTCTTACCTGTCCTTTATTTCCTGCTTTTTCAACATCAGCTGCTTTGTCCAGCACAGCTGAGGTTGAAAAAGCAGGAAAAAGTGGCTTTTCAAATGCTGCACACCCGTGCGCAGCATTTTTCAGCTGTCCGGGCTGCACAGCTTAAGGTTGTTTTACATGTACGTGCAGCAAAAGGTAATCACCAAACTAGTAGTAACACTGGTTGGATCCCACCCCTGGATTAAAACAATACAATATTGGGTTCTAAATCATTCTGGAGTTTCAGATAGGCAAGAGGGCCCATCTTCAGAAGTAATCGGAAAAAAGTGATGGTGGCAATTTGGGTGACAAACCAGCATGACTTTGCAGGCAAGGTTAAATCTGTTATCCCACATAATAGGAACTCAATGTAAAGAAAATACTCAGGTAGTATAAGATATTTATGTGGAGCAAGATATCCA